GATAAGACAAATTGGTATAAGACTGACAATAAATATTATTAAATATTAGTTTCTGCCAACGCGTTTCGTCTTCCGATTTTATCAAAGCAAAATTGAAGAGAAATGTTTTTGTTTTCATAGTTACATTAAATCCATCTTTTAAAAGAGAGAGACACTACTGTGCAATGCATCTTTCTCACGTGATTTGTTCAAAATACAAGCGTCAACATGTGGAAATATAAACAATTAGAAACTTTTGAAAAACTAAAAGCGAGACCAGTTTAAAGTAAAAAAGCAAAATAAATTAAAGTAAAAAATGTATAACAATTTTTTCTGAAAACCCAATTGTAAGTAAGACAATTTTAATTTTAATATTTTTTGTAAAAACGCATGTATTATAAATATTACATATAAATTATTATAAACATTAGATGTTCTTTTCTAAACATTATTCTCTCTCTCTCTCTCTCTCTCTCTCTCTATATATATATATATATATATATATATATATATATATATATATATATATATATATTAGCTTAAACAAGGAAGTCAATATCGAGTGGCGACGCTCTTTTCATTCTTGATTGTATTCGCATATATAACAGACTGTCGCCATTTGGTGTTTACCTCAGTGTTCAATTTTATCTTTACACCCGCTCTATCCCTGATAGTGAACATTTTTACCCATGAATTTGGCATACGTTCAAACTATATTTTTGTTATATTTCATATATATATATATATATATATATATATACGAAATTCTAGTAGAAAGTTATTGTTATTTGTAATTTGTAATTTACTGGTACCACATAACCCAGTGCAAACTGTCGCATATTATTTCCATTAAATCTAGAAATCAACATCTCGCCGATGACTGCATTGATGTGGCCAACATTGTATCCTGATGATCTGCTAAATCGAGAGATAATTAAATTCCTTAAAGGTAAGTTACAATAAATATTTTCGTTCTTAGGCTGAGACCTGGGACCTCATGACCTTTAGGCTATTGCTCCCTCTGCCGGAGTATACTAAGCAAATCCAAACTGGAAGGCAATTGATCGCTTCTAATTTGAATTATTTCCAAGAATTCTTTTCGATTTGCGAAGAAAACATACAAAAGGTGTTTCGGTCGTTGGACAAATAGGTTGCATTCTCGCCCAAAACGCCAGATCGATGCCAGTACGTTGACTTGCGACGAAAGCAGGTTCGGCCTTGATTTCATTTGTTGGGTTTCGATAGCAGCCTTCCTTATTTGCTAGTCCATTCCGATCTATATTTCTATTCATACTCTTCATTCGTGTTAACCACTTTAAAAAGATATCCGGTACCTGTTGGCATAGCGAGGAAACCGTATCTTTTCTTAACCTTTCTTTTGCTATTTATGATATCTTACCCTTTTCCTTTCCCCGACACACACAACAGCAGCAGCCTTTTGAAACAGCCTTTATCGAATATATATATATATATATATATATATATATATATATATATATATATAATATAAATGTTCACTTATCTTGCCTCCGCTCAAAGTTTGGCGTATGTTTTTCCACTCATAAATAAATAGGAGATATGCTATTTTCTTAAATTTTATTTAATAGTATTAATGTTCTATGTCTTATAATTTACAAAGAGTTAAACACTTCTGTGGGTCACTTTTAATTTTGGATTTATTCATGTATTTTTGCGAAATACAATTTTTGTCATATATATATATATATATATATATATATATATATATAAATGGACTCTCCCGTGGGTTTCGACGTATGAGGATCTGACAGCTTATTGATTCAGTTATGAAAGTTTGTGCGAATATCTTAAGTGGCATTTAAAATACTAATGATTTACAAAGTGGCCACATATGGAGCAAGTGTGAGGATTGTGAGATGAAATCACTGTTAGATTGGCTGACCTTTTAGGTCTTGCTCTCGCTTATTGAAGATGATTTAGACAAGCCGATATATATATATATATATATATATATATATATATATATATATATAAATAGTGAATATTGAAGTCAACACTCAGAGGCGACAGGCTGTTTCATGCTAGACGCAATCGTCAGGCGGCCTGAGTGTTGACTTCAATGTTTAATTTTATATTTATATATAGATACGATCTATCTCTGACATTGAGCACTTTACCCCGTAAATATAGCACACCTTAAAACTATATTTCTTCACACACACACACACACACACACACACACACACACACACACACACACACACATATATATATATATATATATATATATGTATGTATAAAAAATGTGGTTGGTTCTGCACAAAGCCTTCACCACTATAATCAAATCATATATGCTGATGTCTGGCTGTCGGTTCCTAAGATCTGAGGTGCTTGACCCACCACCATATATATATATATATATATATATATATATATATATATCTATGTGTGTGTGTGTGTGTGTGTGTGTGTCCACAGAGAGCCGTATAGCAACTCATCAGTGTGACTAGGCATTCCAATTGCTTCAAGCCGGGATCGAAACTCACAACCGATTTGGCATCTGTCAGGGACTCTACTCCTAAGCTATCGAAGGGAATCTATTATATACTTGAACGTCAGCCAGAGCGTTCAATTCATACGAAGAGCTATGCGTTAAGAAGGAGCAGCTACCGTTAAAACTTCCCTTTCTCCATATTGCTCAATCGGCGACCGAAACTGGACACTGAAGTCAACACACAACGGTGACATTCTATATCAGGCTTATGCGCAGTCGATGAACTGTCGATTTTGTGTAAGCATGAAACAAACTGTCGCCTCTGGGTTTTGATTTCAATGTCGACTTTCACATTTACATTTACGCTCTATCTCTGATGTTGACTGCTTTAACCCATGAATATAGCATACCTTAAAACTATATTTTATGAAATATATATGAGGCAAAACTTCAATATCATTATTAAAATTGAATTATTTACCTAACGTGTTCTTTCCTATTTTTCTATATATTTGCACACACACACACACATCCACACACACACACACATCCACACAGACACACATACATACACATACACACATATATATATATAATGATTGATGCATGTTTCATTAAATAATATAGACAAGTTTTGTCTATTTTAAGTAAGTTCCTTTCATTTTGACTGATAAGCTTAATAACATTATCATTGAAGGACGAAAGGAAATCACCATATTGATACATGTTTTAATCCAATATAAGCGTTCGAATTACATAAGCCATTATCAAAGATGACTATTACTTTTCAATATATGAACCAATACACAGAACAATAATGATAGTCTATTTTTGTTGCATGAAAAATTTCTAAGCAACGACTAACTTGTGTAGACGAGACGATGATGCAAAAATCGCGTCGCAGCTCGTGACGTCACACATGACCACGCAAAAGGGAAAACGAGAAGTATTAAGTATGGGAAGCCG